GTTATAGACTGGATTGGAGCAAACTTTATCATCAATAGTAAAATAATATTTTTTCAGGTCATCTTGACATAAATGTGCAGAATAAAAGCCTAGTAAATAGCTTATTTTTTTAAAACATTCGTAGAAAGAGCTTTGCGTTCAGCATTCATTTATTCTCCTATGTTCTAGGCTCTTGAAGCAGAACTCCAGGTAAAAATAATACAATTAAAATGAATAGCCTATTAAAAGTTACATTACCAGAAGCTGCTTTTGCTGCAATATTTATCTTCAATCCAGAGGTCCCCCCCCTGCACTACTTTTTTCTGCCACTAGAGGGTCAGCATCATTCAACCTACTTCTTGATTCTAACCTGTGACTGGATAGTGAAAGGAAAAGCAGCACAGAGCTCAACTCTCTGTCACTCTGTCATTCTCCTCCTATCAGCATGCTTCTTCTCAGCACATAAACTGATTGGCTCCTTGTAATGCTTTTTTCTCTCACACTCCAGCCCTGCTATACAGGGACTACAAGAGGCTGATGCCAAGTTCAATTCAGGTACTAATACTGCTTGTATGTAAAAAATAAATTTAATGGTGTATTAGTAATCACAGAGCTGCATTCATTTGTGTCTTATATATCCACCTGGAGTTCAGCTTTTGAGTGTAATATATATAGCATTTCAACATGATTGAGATATATATATATATATATATATATATATATATATATATATATATAAAACTATATTTTGAAATATATTGAATTTGGCCAAAATTTTAGCATTTCAAATACAGTTGCAAGAAAAAGTATGTGAACCCCTTGGGATTACGTGGAGTTTTGAATGAATTGGGCATAAAATGTGCTCTGAACGTCATCTAAGTCACAACAATAGAAGAACACAGTCTGCTGAACATAATACTACACAAACATTAGATGTTGCCATGGTTTAATTGCACATAACATGTAAACATTCACAGTGCAGGGAGGAAAAAGTATGTGAACCTTTGGACTTAATAACTGGTTGACCCTCCTTTGGCAGCAATAACCTCAACCAAACGTTTCCTGTAGTTGCAGATCAGACCTGCACAACGATCTGGAGTAATTTTGGACCACTCCTCTTCACAAAACTGTTTCAGTGTAGCAATATTCTTGGGATGTCTGGTGTGAATCACTCTCTTAAGGTCATGCCACAGCATTTCAATCGGGTTGAGGTCAGGACTCTGACTGGGCCACTCCAGAAGGCGTATTCTGTGCTGCTGCAGCCATTGTTTTGTTGCATTACTTGTATGCTTTGGGTCATTGTCCTGTTGCATCACCCATCCTCTGCGGAGCTTCAGTTGGCGGACAGATGGTCGTACGTTTTCCTGCAAAATGTCTTGATAAACTCTGGAATTCATTTTCCCATCAATGACAACAATCCGTCCAGGTCCTGAGGCAGCAAAGCAGCCCCAAACCATGATGCTCTCTCCGCCATGTTTTACAGTGCGGATGAGGTTTTGATGTTATTGTGCTGTGCCTTTTTTTCTCCACACATAGTGTTGTGTGTTCTTCCCAAACAACTCAATCTTGGTTTCATCTGTCCACAGTATATTTTGCCAGTAGTGCTGTGGAACATCCAGGTGCTCTTTTGCAAACTTCAAACGAGCTGCAATATTCTTTTTGGACAGCAATGGCTTCCTCCGTGGTGTCCTCCCATGTACTCCATTCTTGTTTAATGTTTTCCTTATTGTAGATGTGTCAACAAAAATGTTAGCATGTGCCAGAGATTTCTGTAGGTCTTTAGCCGACACTCTGGGATTCTTCTTTACCTCATGCAGCATTCTGCGCTGTGCTCTTGCAGTCATTTTTACAGGACGACCACGCCTACGGAGAGTAGCAACAGTGCTAAACTTTCTCCATTTGTAGACAGTCTGTCTTACCGTGGACACATGAACATCAAGGCTTTTGGAGATACTTTTGTAACCCTTTCCAGCTTCATGCAAGTCAACAATTCTTGATCGTAGGTCTTCTGAGAGCTCTTTTCTGCGAGGCATGGTTCACATCAGACAGTGCTTCTTGAAACCAGTAAACCCAAAACAGGTGTGTGCTTTTTAAGGGCAGGACAGCTGTCAGCAACACATCCAATATCATCACACTGATTGGAGTCAAGGTTGGCTCACTCCTGGCTCCAGTTAGCTCTGGGAGAAGTCATTAAGCTAGGACCTCACATACTTTTTCCTCCCTGCACTGTGAATGTTTACATGTTATGTGCAATTAAACCATGGCAACATCTAATGTTTGTGTAGTATTATGTTCAGCAGACTGTGTTCTTCTATTGTTGTGACTTAGATGACGTTCAGAGGACATTTTATGCCCAATTCATGCAAAACTCCACGTAATCCCAAGGGGTTCACATACTTTTTCTTGCAACTGTATATGTCAAAATATTTGGGAAGAATATTTTAAAAAATATTTTTCAAATATATTTTTCTTCCATATGGGTATGGCCCTAGCTGGTTTCTTTCCTTCTGAGGTGGTCACATCTCTTGCCTTTGGTTCAGCTTGGCGTTGGTAACAGAAAATGAAAACAGAATTTTATTTTATTTTATAAAGCCATCTACAACACTGCCCCAATATACATAACCGATCTTATCTCTAAATATCACCCAAACCGAACACTCCGCTCCTCGCAAGACCTCTTACTCTCTAGCTCCCTTATCTCCTCCTCCCATGCTCGTCTCCAAGACTTCTCCAGGGCATCACCCATCCTCTGTAACTTCCTACCCCAATCTATTAGCCTGTCACCTACTCTACTTGCCTTTCAGCGATCACTGAAAACCTTTCTCTTCAGGGAAGCCTATCCCGCCCTCTGCTAATTCTGGAATCCTCTACTCTTCCAACCACTCCCTCCCCCACAGTGACTACCTACTGTACCATTCACCCCTCCCTCCTAGATTGTAAGCTCCAAGGAGAAGGGCCCTCCTTTGGCACTATATAAATCCTGTATAATAATAATAATAATTTGAAAACAGTAGTTAGAAAACACTGCTTAATAACCTTGTATTTAGTCTCCAGATATTGCATTTGTCTCCTACTCTTTTCACTGTGCCCAAGATTGTTACTAACTTTCCATTCTGATACGCTGATAGGTGTTACAAATTTCCCTCTATATTTAATACATGAAAGGTTTCATATTTTGGTTTATTGTTAGGCTATTCTGTTTCTTCAAAGGATCACCAACTATTTTTCCATCAGTCACCCTTCTCAGTATAGCATTGATCCACAGAGACCGGACTTGTACTGCAGTGAGGTAGACGGTTCATTAAAGTGTATTGTGTTGCTACCTAATTCCACAGGGGCTAGGAGAAAAGTAGGCCAATAGTCAACTTTTTTCCAGGTGACTTTGCCTGTATCTTTGAATGTTCTTCAGATACTTTGATGCACTGCCAAATCCTATTACAAAAACATAACCTAGAAATATTCTACTATATTTGCAGTTTCCTGGTCTTTGATGTGTATTTCTTTATTACATGCATATCAACTGTTGGAGTGCACATGTCTTAATTCAGCTGTGTATACCATATTGATTGTACTAAAAAAATGAAAGGCAAAACGTAAAAAATTGAATCTGTTCTTTCAAGTGATGTTGCTGTCTCTATAGAGATATGCTGGATATATATATATATATATATATATATATATATATATATATATATATATATATATATATTACTGCTGAAATATGCACAGTCATATTTTCAGACACTGCACAACTGCGTTAAGAGGAAAGTGAAGGCAAGACTATAAAAATGAAAGTTAACATGTTGTCTTTCTGACTTAAATTGGGATTTAATACAAATTTGTCATTTTAAGCTTTTTCTGAGGACAAATGGAAGTCCCCTACTATATATGTTTTTTTTCATTAAAAAAATGTACACTACTCACAAAAATTAAAGGAACACTTTGAAAACACATCAGATGTCAATGGGGAAAAATATCATGCTGGGTATCTATACTGATATGTACTGGGGAATGTGTTAGAAACGTAAAAATGCCCCATTGTTTGACAGAAATTAACATGATCAACCTACAGAGGACTGAAATCAAAGACTCCCCAAAAATCAAAGTGAAAAAATGATGCGGCAGGCTAGTTCATTTTGTTGAAATTTCATTGCAGCAACTCAAAACTTAGTTTGCATGGCCCCCACGTGCTTGTATGCATGGCTGACAACATTGGCGCATGCTCCTAATGAGACGATGGATGGTATCCTGGGGTATTTCCTCCCGGATCTGGACCAGGGCATCACTAAGCTCCTGGACAGTCTGAGTGCAACCTGGAGGCGTCTGATGGACCGAAACATGATATCCCAGAGGTGTCCTATTGGATTTAGGTCAGGTGAGCGTGGGGGCCATTCAATGGTATCAATTCCTTCATCCTCCAGGAACTGCCTGCATACTCTCACCACATGAGGCTGGGCATTGTCATGCACCAGGAGGAACCCAGGATGCACTGCACCAGTGTAGGGTCTGACAATGGGTCCAAGGATTTCATCCCGATAAATAATGGCAGTCAGGGTGCCATTGTCTAGCCTTTAGAGGTCTGTGCATCCCTCCATGGACATGCCTCCCCACACCATCACTGACACACCACCAAAACGCTCATGCTGAATACAACAAAATGAAAATCTACAATCTACATCACTAATCTGGTCTCAAAATATTTACCAAACCACTCTCTTCGATCCTCCCAAGACTTTCTGCTCTCTAGTTCCCTTGTCACCTCCTCCCATGCTCACCTGCAGGACTTCTCCCACGCTTCTACCATTGTTTGGAATTCCTTACCCCAATATTTCCGACTATCATTAATCTATCCTTCTTTAGACGATCCCTGAAAACCGTTCTCTTTAACCACCTCTCGCCCACCATATAAGGCAATGACGGGCACAAGGTGGTTCTCTCGTTCTGGGAGGACGTCATATGATGTCCTCCCATTCTAACCGTGCATGCGTGACTCCAGGAGTGCGCAGCGCAGCGATCGGCGGTGCGCTGTGTCCCTCGGACACAGCGGATCACTGATCAACGGAAAGAGCCAAAGATTTTGGCTCGGTCATGTGATCAGCTGTGTCCAATCACAGCTGATCTCATGTAAATAGGGAAATGCTGGTTTTCGGCATTTCTCTCCTCACAAGCTGCCACGCTGACAGCTCATGAGGAGAGGAGAGCCGGTAATCGGCATTCCTCTAAGGGGACATGTATACTGATCATCAGGACACTGATGATCAGTGTAGCCCCAGCAGTGCCACCTCTCAGTGTCCATCAATGCCAGCTGTCAGTGCTCATCAGTGCCACATCAATGCCACATATCAGTGCTCATCTGACCTGCCTTTAGGTGTCACCTATCAGTGCCAGTCAGTGCCACCTATCAGTGCTGCCAATCAATGCCGCCTATCAGTGCCAGTCAGTGCTGCCTATCAGTGCCAGTCAGTGCTGACTATCAGTGCACATCAGTGCCGACTATCAGTGCCCGTCAGTGCTGCCTATCATTGCCACCTAACAGTGCCACCTAACAGTGCCAGTCAGTGCCGCCTATCAGTGCCGCCTATATGTGCCCTATATGAGTGCTGCCTTTCAGTGCCCATCAGTGATGCCTGTCAATGCCCATCAGTGCCACCTACCAGTGCCTCCTCATCAGTGCCCATCAGTGCCACCTATCAGTGCCCATCAGTGCCACCTATCAGTGCTCATCACTGCAGCCTCATTAGGGCATATCAGTGAAGGAGAAAAATCACTTATTTACAAAATTTAAAACAAAAACTAAGAAAAAACTCTTTTTTTTCAAACTTTTCAATTGTTTTTGATTTGTTTAGCAAGAAATAAAAAACACAGAGGTGATTACATACCACCAAAAGTAAGCTCTATCTGTCTAAAAAAACAAATGCTAAAAATTTAATATGGGTACAGTGCTGCATGACCGCGCAATTGTCATTCAAAGTGTGACAGCGCTGAAAGCTGAATATTGGCCTGGGCAGGAAGGGGGTATAAGTGCCGAGCAGGCAAGTGGTTAAAGAAGTCTATCCTGCTTCTGACTAGTAAGCTACCTTTTACTTCTTCCATCAGCTCATCCCCCATAGCTATTACCTTTTGTATCACTCAACCCTTCCGCCTAGATTGTAAGATCTAACGAGCAGGATCCTCTGTTTCCTCTTGTACCAAATTGTATTGCAACTGTAATATCTACCTTCATTTTGTAAAATGCTATGCAAACTGTTGGCGCTATATAAATCCTGTATAATAATAATAATAATACAATGATAAAATAATGAATAATAATAATACAATGAATGAATCTTAATCAATCTTAAACAAAACGAAGATTTATGGCGTGCACATGTCTACTGTACACTGAAAACCACCATTGTCCCAATGTTGAAAGCTAATGCGTCATGAGCAAATAGCATGTGAATTGTGAAATATTCATTTGTGCTTAACTATTTGGGTAATAAATGTGCACCACACTGCAAAATTTGAGTAGAATGTTACGAAGTATATGCATAGGGACACATGAAGGATACTGATGGATACATTTCATTCATAAACTCCTATCCGAGGACAACAAATTATCCAACCTTAGAGATCTCAGATGGTGATGTTGTCAGTCTTTGGTATGAGAATCCAAATACTGTATACAGTACATAAACAAGTTAGATGAGTGGACATTATACAGTATAGTGGCATTTCTAATTTTTGGAATTTAATTTTTCTTTTACAATGGAGTTTATTGATAGTGTCAAGTCATCAGATATAACCAAAGGCTGGCATTTAATTTTCAGTCATGAACTCTTGCACTTCTTTCACAGTATCAGTTACTTGAAATTATTATTTCTATTTGTATCACTAAAATTAAACACTGCATTTATTTGCACAGCTTTCTGCACATTCCTTGGAAGAAAGGATGTTTCTCAAGATATAGAAGATGTACTGGCAGAAACACAGATACAAAGGAACATCCGCAGCGTTTCCGTCATCGAACTTTTCAAGACACGTTCTGCTAGATGGCAGATTATAACTGTTATTACCACTATGGCCTGTTATCAGCTGTGCGGCCTCAATGCTGTAAGTAACATAATGAGTACAGAGTAAATACAGATCTACTCCTGTGCTCTCTTTAGATGGATCTGAGGTCATTGTGTAGTTGTAAGGGTGCTTTTGTGGAAATGGCAATTACTTGAATTAGGTTGTAATACGATTGGGATAAAAGACTCACACTGGCCTGTTGATAAGTGGCACATAGCCACAATTTTCATCAATCCTGATAGGGTAATTAGGGAACTCTGGACAGCTCAGTTACCAGTTGGCTTTTAAGTGTATTTAGAGGCATAAATTCTATCATTTAGAATTCTTAGGAGTTTTCAGAATTAAGTAAAAAAGTCTGAAAAAAAAAATTAACACGTAATAACTGTAAATAGACATACAATCACATTGTGCTATATGCTTGTTTTCCCAACATTTGTTTTTACTAGACTCTATTATTTTTTCTTTAGCCAGCGTTAGCCCACCAAAAAGGATACACCATTTTAAATGCATAGCAGATCTATCACAAATCCACCTTTTATTGCTTCATAGGCTCAGTTGTATTGCTTTAAAGACCAAAGCATGAAAGCAATGCTAAGATGGAGGATTTTGTCTGTAATCTCATTACTGCAGGCGCTGGGGTCATATGAGAGCTTAGCATTAGAAATGTGTCTATGCATTTGGTCACTCAGGCACCCAGTGCTCATACATAGGGGAAGGACAGAGCTTTCAGTTTTATGTTAGTTGACTTTTGTTTATATACTTACACTTTTGTGTTACTGTATTTAGGGCTGAACTCCAGAATTGTAAAAAAAAAAATACTCTTGCAGTGGGGTCCTCAAGCACTGCAAAAGGTTAAATGTTCTTTATTTCCAGGTGTATCGGAGAGGCTGTATTACTTGCCATACTCCCTGCCTGCTCCAGCCGGCTTCAACGTTGTCCTCTTCCCCTGGCACTCTGTGCTGTTGATGGTCCTTCTGTGCCATCATGTACAATGCAGGGCTATTAAAAGAGAAGTGTGGGATTTCAAAATAAAAAAAACAATCATATGAGCCCAAAGAATCAAATAGTAGTGAAATGAAATCTCCAGTATAACAATAGTGTCCAAAACTCAATAGATTAAATAATTGATACAAAAGAAGAATCCAATCTTCCTGTGAAATCCAGTCTGTAAAGCCACCACCTAGATTGCGATTCAATTTTGCTTACCAAATGAATATGACTCTATAGCTATAAGAGTCTTAATGGGCTTAAGGAATGCATACTGATCCACACTCCCAGCCACCAAACAACTCCCTCTGCAAGGCTGGTCCTCTGTCAGGAATGGGCTCAGCACAGGTGGTGCTGGGGTTCACCTGCCGTGTGGGCTGCAGTACCAGTGCTGGCCAGCGGGTGCTCTCAGCAGCCAGAATCTCACTCCTGCAATCAAGCCTTCACCTGAGGCTGATTGCAGGAGGAGTATTTAAGCAATGGCCAGACCTGCAGTCAGTGCCTTGGTGTTTGTTTCCCATGAGCCCCTGTACCTGCTAGCCTGTGTTCCTGCTCCTGTATCCTTGCTATTTGATTGTTGCTGACCTGGATTGTTCCTGACCGTGCTGTACTCTCCTGCTCTGACCCCTGGCTTGCCTGACCTCTCTCTTGGATGCCCCTAATTTGCTCTGACGTATTGTTGCTGACCCAGCATGTGACCCGACCATTCTCTGCCTGCTGCCTTGTACTGCGCTGCCCCCACAGTTACCGACTCTGCCTGTCTGACCACGCTTCTGCTCATCCATCCATCCTGCTCGGGCCCATCCGCCTCTTCACATCAGGCTCTCAGTTTGCAGATACCTCTGGCGGATCCCTCTACCACGGGTAGGTGTACTCAGGGGCCGTGACCTGGTTTCGGTCTGCTCCAAGTCCATCCCCACCATCAGGGGCCCTGGTGAACAAGCAGACTGGGACTTAGACTCCGCGCTCTGGGGAACCCTATTCCGTGGATTGCTAGAGGTACCACCAGGCGGTTCATTACAGTACCAAACGGCCTGTCTGACCATTCCACCTCTCCAGCCCTGATAATGCCTGTGTTCCCACACATTTCATACCCGGATCCCTGACATCCTCTTTGCAAGGGGTATCGGCACAAGGCTCATCACTCAATCATTTCCAAATGTGTGCAGTGATATGCCAATGAGCAGAGAACAAAAAGCTCCACATAGTGGGAAAACGTCTATATATTTATTAAAAGCCAATAAAATTGCACTTACAAGCAAAGAAATAAATAGAGCTGTATACAATTGCATACACAGCTCTGCACTTCTGGTCCATTTCCAATATATGTGATAACATCACAACAGGCTCTACCCAACATGTTTTGTCATAAAATGACATCTTCTGGGGCATGGACGCCATATTGAGTCACCACGCATTATACAGCCTCTTCAATTGTCCAAGAATTTAGAGGCCATAGCTCATTGTAAATCCAACCAAGCCTTCCACTAGAGCGATTTCAAGAAAAGACACTGTCTAATTGACTGGACATTTTATTTCTTTACTATTTGATTTGTTCGGCACTTATTTAGTGTATTTCAGCACAGCACATTTTTTGTATATATTAAATTGCTGTGAAAAATATTTCAAAGTGTGCTTGCTGCTCATAGTTGATTGTTATCCCACAAGCGCAGTTACTATTTTAGTTCTAAGGTTAAAACAATCATATGCACCTTGGTGAATGCAGCATTGGTCTGATGCTACATTTATCCCCCCCGCCGCCTCAAAGACTATTGATCGCTTGGTTCTTCGTCTTCATTAAACCAGTGACTGTCAGTCTGGTCTGCACTCACTGGAGTGCCAGCCTGTGGAAGGGCGGAAATGTCCGGCTCAGGAGGCTAAGTCAGCTGCCACTCAGACATCTGGGTGGATCCCGACATTAAAGTCAGGATCCCTCCAAAGTCTGGAACACCTCTGTGGGGCTAAAATCCTCTGTCAGCTGAATCTGGGAGTCAGGAGTGCAGAACTAAATGTGCTGCTGTGACCCACAGGAGAAGTAGAGCCAAAAGTGCCAAGACACTCATTCACAGAGTTCTGTGAATGAGTGTCTACAAGTCCCGGCAGCCTTAGCGGCTGTCGGCTGTAGGTTTCAATGAACTACCACGACGCTGTGGAGCGGTACATCTTGTATGGCTAGCAGATATTCTGACAGGTCTACAGAAGACCTACATGGCATCAGCAATCTACTGATCACTGGTGCAATGGTTTACAGGCTCCTTTGGACAAAAAATAATAAATGCACATTTTTTTACCTGCAAAAAAATGTGCATTTACTATTTTTGTCCAAAACGTGAACTTATCCGTTAACATTTCACCACATGTTACTATAATAAGTGATATTAACTTTTTTTTTTATAGAATAACAAACATTTCATACTTACCTGCTTTGTGCAGTGGTTTGGCACAAAGCAGCCCCAATCCTCATCTTTCTTGGGTCCCCCACCAGCGTTCTTGGCCTCTTCCTCCTGTCTAGTGCCCCTATAGCAAGTAGCTTGCTATGGGGGCAC